ATGGAGAGATCCATGTTGCGAAGTTTACCCTTTCAACATCTAAGATTAACCCAAACCATGAGATCTAGACGCGCACACACACACACTATATATATATGTATATATGTATATATGTATATATATATATATATCTCTCTCTCTCTCTTTTCTCTTTGTGATGTGTCAATCGTTCACATAAAACCGACATGCATTGGCATTGCAAAAACACCAGGCAACCCGTAACGGAATTTCTACAGATCTTGACCCTGCCTGAATGGTGAGGACATGTTTCCTGGCTAGGCTTGGGACAGAACAATGCCATATGTATATGCGACGGGGCATATGTATTGCTGAGACGGGGCCTTTTGGCGTGGTTTGTGCTAGGTGAAACTGGAGCATCTTACTCCATGCCATGCCAAAAGGGCATGCAAACCCAATCAAAAGTCTGGGCCCTCCCAGCAAGCCTGGAATCCAGCTCAACATACAGGTGGGCTTGCATCTGGTTTGTCTTTATAACGTCATTCTCGTTGTCGTCTGTTTTGTCTCTGGTATGGTGCGCAGTGCGAATTCTTCTGGTGATAGGATAGTGAGCTTTCGGCAGGTCTGCAGGACCACTTCGAGGTCTGTGATCTTGAAACACTCTCGAGTGTTGAGCACTTCCGCTTCTGCGAGGTTTGCTGATCGGAACGACCTTGTTGTCCATGCTGGCACGCAACGTTGTGTGTAAATTGTTCTTCCACTGCGTTGACGCCCTGAGAAGGTTTCGCCATGTAGATCGCAGCCACCTCTTTCAAGGTCGTTCTGGTGAAGTCTTTGGGCGTGTATTGTGGCACACGACTGCGAGCAAAGTGCATCACTGAAGGCCAACTTGTATAGCCTACCTTGACAAACTCAGAAGGAATTTCGGCCTTCATCTTTCCTGGCTCGCTTTGGTGCTGCCTTGGGAGCAGCTGCTGCTCATCCTTTCTGCCCAAGATCACGATGTGGATGAGACCAACTGCATCAGCAGGCTTAGTGGCCAGGTGGTTGTGCATGAAAGCTTGGGAGCACCTGTATGTGAGCTGGTTGTACAAGAAGCTGGCCTTTGACAGCTGATCTCCGTACCAGGCTGCTCTGGTCAGCAGCACTTCCCAGTGCCGATGCGATGCTCTCCAACTTGTGGGCACGGCTCATGTAGTGGCGCCAAGGAAGCTTTCACGCCAAAACCAACCAAAAAAACATAACAAATTAAAGGATAACCCCACATGTCAACTTCTTCCAACAAGCAGCAAAAGAAAGGTAAAGATGGCATGGGGAAAGAAGGAAAGAGAAAAGAGATGGTGAAGGATTGGTGCCATACGTGCCACGACTGCCACGCAAAAGTGGAAGTCGATGTCACTAAGTACCACGCCTGCCACGTGAAACGAAGGTGGATGTCTCCAAGTGCCTCGCCTGCCACGCCAACAGCCGCGGTGTCCCGGCGTTCCACTCCGGCCCAAGCGCACCACCGGAGCCAGCCCAGTGCCATACGTGCCACGCCTGCCACGCAAAAGTGGAAATCGATGTCACTGCCACGTGAAACGAAGGTGGATGTCTCCAAGTGCCACGCCTGCCACGCCAACAGCCGCGGCGTCCCGGCGTTCCACTCCGGCCCAAGCGCGCCACCGGAGCCAGCCCAGTGCCATACGTGCCACGCCTGCCACGCAAAGTGAGGATCCATGTCACCAAGTGCCCAGTGCCATACGTGCCACGCCTGCCACGCAAAAGTGGAATGTCACCAAGTACCACGCCTGCCACGTGAAACGAAGGTGGATGTCTCCAAGTGCCACGCCTGCCACGCCAACAGCCGCGGCGTCCCGGCGTTCCACTCCGGCCCAAGCGCGCCACCGGAGCCAGCCCAGTGCCATACGTGCCACGCCTGCCACGCAAAAGTGGAAGTCGATGTCACCAAGTACCACGCCTGCCACGCCTTCCTTCCTTCCTTCCTTCCTTTCGTCCTTCCCTCCTTTCCTCCTTCCCTCCTTCCCTTCTTCCCTCCTTACTTCCTTGCTTCCTTTCTGCCGTCCTTCCTTCCCTCCTTTCCTCCTGTATGGTCATTTATTTTTTTTTGATGCTTCTCCCGACCAAGTGTCCCAGTCAGGAGCCGCTGGAGCTGCTGCCGTTCTCACATCTATAGAAGGCATGCACCCCAGGTCTGAAGAGAGCTGGTGGGGGCGCTGGAGGTGCTCACTCATCCTCCAGGACTGTCGATTCTTCGACTCTCCATGGCTTGCGTTTGCAGCACCTCCGGGCTGTTGCCCTGGATGTAGCTACTTATCACAGGGTCGTAGTTCAGGTTGAAGCATTTCCTTTTCAACTAGCTCTTGAGCCTAGAAATGCAAAAAGTCTCACCCCTGATCCTGGAAACTTCACCAGCCATCGTTCTCAACTGAGTGCGTGACACAAAGGACTCACAGTGATCTCGCAGTGTGTGACTGAATGCAACACTAATATATGCAACCAATGAAAACAAGCATGCCAAAATCATCCAAACATTTCACACGACCATATGTTTTCCCCATTGTATAGCTGGACGACTTGCTCCTCAGCGCTCTGCAAGGTCGATCTTTCATGGCGCACCCAAAACGGTCGCGCAAGATGTCAGATTGTGCACTCATGTGGTATTGCTTTTTTTGCAGCGGTAATCGCGAGAAACCTCGGACACCAAAATTACAAAACAAACATATTACGACAGAATGATCGTATTCCGATTTGAACTATTTTTGGGATTTGCAAACTCAGGCGGCATCAAAACTTTGCTAAATATCTTCAACTTCCCAGAATTGCACGCATGTGTGGAAACAATGCTTGGTTGAATGGGGCTTATGTTGCGTACCCGTCACAATGAAAACAAGTGGAAGACGAGTCTGGGTCCCGAATGTTGGGAAACCATGGGAACCCTGATCTCCATTTGGACATTCTTTTGACAGCTGGGGTTTGGGCCCAACAAGGCAGCTGCGAAATGAACACTTCATTGGATCCACAAAGCTTATGCAATTAAATTGTGCCTCATTGTGTTGTCATGTTGTCATTTGGCCGGTTCTGACTTAGATGCAAGAGAAATTGCAACCACAGGCAACTGTTTATTTCCAAACCGGACCAAACCAAACCCGGTGAAACCATGCAAAACTTACTTTGAATAATTTTCTACCTTAAACATGCCTTTCTGGGCCAAAACGCAGAGGGGTTGAATACCCCAAACGAAATTAATTGCCATTGCAGCCGCCGAAAATAGAACATCGAACAAAGATTGAAAACTAGGTGCTAAAAATGTGTGTTGCTGATAACCATGATAGTGGAGTATGTTAGCGATGGCCTTGTTTGGTTAAGAAACTATGGAACTATTGTGCGATGCCGTTAGCATTTGTCTAAAAACAGTCTTGTGAAATCCTTGTTACGCACGCCCGTGCTGCAATTGGGCCATGCGACTGGGAAATGGTTTGTAAGCTGATAAGGAAACACGAAAAAATGTTGCGATGATCCAGCAGTTGAGGGATAAGCTGACGCTGACTTTCGTAATATAATATGACTGTGCTGCATTCTAGGGTCAGAAGGACGATTTTGTGGTGCTGTTTGGTTTGCTAACACATAGCCGTTAATAGTTCATACGGCACGCATGAAACATTTGTTGCATTATCAATCAACTATTTTTTATCTTCTGATCCCAAATCCACCGTCTTGTCTACTTGTGGTTGTGGTGTTGTGCACTTGAGGCCGAGGGGGGGTGAACGAAAGCCAAAGGTCATATAAATGTGGAAATAGGTGAGCGGAACTTGGAAACATGCAGGGAAACTCAGCCACAGGGAAGGAGTCAAGATGGTTGCAAAGAAGAAGTGTAATGTTCAGCTTTCATTCGTAGAACATGTGAAGCAAAGAACATGGTTACTGAACAAAATTGGGGCCTTATCCAGAAGTGTAATTTTTGATGGGGCTGAAATCCTCAACTGTTGGTCCGAGTCACAAAGAATTCTATTGGGCCCACTGCCAAATTTTCAGAAGCTCTGGCGAGCCTTGGAAAGTGCCAGCCAAGAAGATTGGTACGCGGCAAAGTTTGGGCCCCATCCAAAATTGTAATTTTTGATGGGGCTCAAACCAAACAGTGTGACCTGAGGCAGAAAGAACTCTATCGAGCTTAATGTTCTGGTGAGGCATCTTGCGCAAGAGTTCCATCCGAACAACATGTAATCTTCCGTTGCAAGTCGCAAAACATCGGAACCAAAGAAGATGGTGAGTCGATAAAGTTTGGGTTTCATGAGATAGGATGCCTGTCCAGATATCTTTTTTCACCACCTTGTTTTTGTTGCTGAGCAGCTGCGGCACGTTTCGGCTGGCATCAACTGGACAGCACATAAACCCAGCAAATTGATCGAAGCTCGGGCGAGCTTGTAATGTCATGCTCTGATGAAGCATAGGGCGCGAGAGCTGTATCCGAACAACATGTAATCTTCGGCTTTGAGTCGTAAAACATCTGAACCAAAGAAGACTAGAGAGTTACAGAGGGACGGCCCTGGCAGGATTTGAGCCCGTGACCATCTGCTTCCGAGACTGCTTCAAAATGCCCCGGGAGCTTGGGGGGGGTTCAAGTGAAAAATCACTGTGTTGGACTCAGACCTGCCTCTCCCCTTGCTGAAGCAAGAGCAACTCAGCTAGCTACCGCTAGCTTTCGTGATTTTCTTCAAAACCACTGAGCGCACGGAAGTCTCACAAAGCTACAAATTGGGACATGATGCAGCAGTGAACCAATGATGCAATGTCTTTTTAGTGGGATTGCTTCAAGGCTTTCAGGTTTGTTCCTTGAAAAGTGCATAGTTTGGTCGAACATCCAAGAAACGTTTTGATCCATTTCTAGCAGCAAAAACATCCTAAAATGCATGTTCCAGCTCCAGCCAAACCTTTCAAAAAGTTCCTCATCATTGCAGCCCATGAATCATGTGAATCATAGCTGCACATTTCTTTTTCGTTTTATTCCCTTTGAAACAATCACGCGGTTTGGCACTCACAAACACAGCAAATACAGTCGGCATGCATGAGTCGCCGTAGTTCTTGGAACGGCCGCGACCAATTCAGATCTTGGCAATGCTCAGCCGCTCACATTTGCATAGTGAAAGCTATCAACAAAGCCTTAAATGTATTGGAATGCGAGTCTGCACTGTGAGCCGCACCAAAGGGCAACGTGCTTGAAAAAGCGCACTAAGAATAGCAATACCAGTTGTGCTTACTGATAGCAATAACAATAACACACTTGGGCTCTATGACTCTGGTGTTGTTACAAATGAACCAAGCAATTTCAAAAGTCAACTCAAGTGTGAAATGATTAGGCTAAGACTTTTAAAACAGACATATCTCCTCTTAATCTTTAAAATCTTTGTCTTGTCTGCTGTCGGCGGATTCGGCTGCCATCTGAAGTGTCACGGACTCAGCGAATTTCTTCCATGCCTGTGCTGCTCCTTTGTGTACCTGCCCAGCCTGTCCAACAATCGATTGTGCCTTGGCCAGGTCTTAAACATCTTAAACATCTTCAACATCAACTGTCCCCAAAATAAATACACCTTCCATCTTAATGGACATTAAGCCTTTATGATCCTTTATTGAACCTTTACAGCTTGGCTGTTCCAATTCTGAAGCTTTGGAAGCTGTTTACATTGGGCTCTAGGATGATATATTGTGTCCATGGTGAAAGTTCGAAGGTGCCACACACCTCAACAGGCCCAGGAGATAGGCTTCTCGTGATGCGTCAAATGCACAAAAATGCAGAAATAATACAGGATTGGCAAACGTCTTTGGCCACATGGCTGTCTTCGACTCTTGGACTGATGAATTAAGCCTATGAAGCAGACGGAACAGAGGTGAACTCAATGTTCCAAACAGAAAGAAACCAGGCGTGCATCGACAAGCTGCGACCCCACCATTTCTAGACGTCACCCGAGCCACGTTATCGTTTCCATTTCATCAAATTGAACAGATTTGATCTGTTCAATCTGTTCAAAGTTATGTGCCAATGAATCCCCTTCTGGTTGAACTGGGCAGGGACAGAAAATCATACGGAAAGCCATGAAGGTGTAGCAAGTCGCATTGAGCCTGCTCATATCAGCCCTTTGTATCGAGATTTCTGGTTCTGATCAATGTGCAGCTTCAGCATACTTCCCAACTGTCCAAGTTTTCATTGGAAAACATCCCAACACAACTTCTGACTTGTCATCTCAACATATCTCAACTTGGAACCAGAATGAAGCTGGGTACGGGGGGCCGCAGAATGCTGCAAAATTGAAACGCTCCAGCGCCCACTGCAAAGTTCACATGGAAACCCGTCCCATTGAACTCTGCAGATTTCGAGATTTCGACAGCTGGAAGAAAGAAAGGACAAAAAGAACAAAGAGATAGATTCTTGATATTCTTCACGAGAATCGATCCCGTTGCGGATCCCGGAAGGATGTCTGCAGATTCTCTAGACATGATCGGTTTCAAACCACTGACCAACAGAATCCAAAGCATCTACATCTTGAAGAGAACTCTGAGTAACTTTGAACATGATCGAATCTGAGACGTGCATAGGCTTTCGGGATTTCACAAAATTCAAGACGATCCGCCATTGTGCTTTTTTTACATCACAGATAACCGTTGTGCTTTATTTTGCATCATGGATTTGCCTCCCCATTGGGGGCACGCGACACTCAGTGCTACATCCAAACACTGGCCTCAAGCACCGAACCCTTTGCAGTTGGAACAAATGACTCTGGAACTGCACATGCTCCACATCATGCTCCACATCTGGGCACATATGGTGCAGTAGTGCAGTAGAAGCTTTGGCACTGTAAAACAAGTTGTGCCTCCAAGACACATTTGTGACTCTCCGCTCTCCGATGAACTCTAAAACGTTCTTGTCACCACAGTCTTGAACTTCTTTCGCTGTAGTGGAGGCTCTTGATTCTGTCGTACTGCGTGGAAGCTTGTCAAAGTCGTATGACAAATGGCCTTGCAATGCACCGTCATACGATGTACAGATATGCACAAAATATGCACAAAAAATGTGCACAACATATGCACAACATATGCACAGTATTCTTGTGGACACACTGCACATGCCGGGCAAACAAATAAACTGCGCAACACCTCAGCTTCAGGCCTGCATTGACTCCTCAGTGAACCAGGCCTGGCCACGAAATCTTTCTTGTTAACTAAAATAACTAGAGCCACGAAAGACACATATGAGATCTGCTGCACAAGAAGAAGAAAAAAAATAGCATGCAGCTTGTCATGCATTTGATCTGAACAACGTGCAAGATGAAATATGACCGGAGGTCAAAGAGGCTTGTACTTGTACCAACATGAACATCCTGTGTATGATCAGATTTTCTTCGTATCCAAGTTTCTTGATGTGCAGTTTTGAATCGTCTGACCCGCACAGCGCACCTTTTCTTATGACCAAATTTGGGCCACTGCAGCCATGTCTTTAATGTCTTTAATCCCACACATGCCCACACTGAACCCACTGTGACGTTTTCGGCTACCTTTGGCCGCCTCACAGTGGCCTCACCTTTCCAGATTTTTGAGCAAACGAAACAACGACGCAGCTTCTCCAATGCGGCTGAACTCGATACAGAAAGCCTGCACTTCAATGAACAATTCCTTCACATTGATGATTTTGTGCTTGATCAGCGAAGTCAAGAATACGCACACTAACCGCACCAGGCGATTCTGCATGTACTTGTCCTTGATATTCTCACACGAGGAAATGCAATTCGAGATGTAGAGGTGAATGAATTCATGAGGCAAGTCGACAGCTGTGGTCAGTTTGTTCACAACCTCCAAGGAGTGTAGGCTCATGTCCATGTTCACAAGAGCCTGGAAGTAGTTGGAGATCTGTGAGCTACCCATCAACTTCAGCAAGACTTCAATGGCTATCTGCGGGTTGTGCTCGACTAATTCAGGGAGCTTTTTCGGAGTCAAACCGCAGTGGTAGACAAGTTTCACATCTTGCCCTAGGCCATCAATGATCACCTGAGCCTGGTCGGCGGGCAATTGTGTCTTCACTGCTTTGGCAAAAAGCTCCCGTACTTCAGCACCAAGTGAGGTATCAGCACACATCGTGTAATCCCACAAAGGCTCCGAGAGCAGCTGCGAAGGTGACAACCAAAACACCTCATCCACGGTTGCCTCCAAAAGCGGAGGGACAGGTCTTGCCCAAGCTGGTTCCAGTGAAAGCAGAGTCAACTCCTCAGGCTTGAGCTGAAGATCAGAAACTCCACTAAGATCATCAAAGTCTTCTCTTGAAGGATCCGACGGGACCCAGTAGCCTTCATCGGACTTGTCATTTATCACTGGTCTGAGGCCCAAAGCTTGAGCTGAATTCACCACCGGAGCACTCTCCTGATGCATCCGCCGTAGAGCGTCCATGTCTGGGATGACAGGATCCTCTGCCGGATCACAGCTTTGGAGAAAGCCCTGCACACTTTGCTTTGGCAGTTCCTTGGGTAAGGACGACAGGAACTGCAGCAGGAACTTTCTTTCAGCCATGTCATTTGTTGTCTCCACCATCTCCAGCACCAAAGGAACGAAAGGCGTAGTTGCCTCAGTTTCCTGCCGGTAGATGTCGTAGAGAAGGTAGAATCCAACCAAGCGCTGTGTCTGTGTCAAAAGATTGTCCTGGATGAGCATGCAAATGACACAGCCAGCTTTGAACTGGTCAGGCTTGGTGAAACTCCTGTAGAATGTCTGCGCAATCTGCTCGAAGGGCTTGTTTGGCTCCTTCAAGATCGTCAACAAATTGTCCAGCTCCTGCTGCGACAACATGTCCTAGGTCTGCCGTTTCATTCCCCTACTCCGTCTTCAATGCTCTGCTTCCCTTGAGCACAAAGATTGCGCGGCAATCTGAGGTTCCAAAGCCCTGCTCAGAACAGTTCAGATCACAGTTTGTAAATGCTGCAATTGCTGGCAAGTCTGACAATAGTGGCAGGTCGTGATATGTCACAAGAGGATCTGGCAGTGCCTGGTGGTAAGTGACGATCACATTGTTGAAGCATGTTAAAACGCTCAGATCATCGTTGTCCACCTGAGCATAACATTGGATATTGGATGTTATGTCTTTTAGTGAAAGCATGGTGCAGCATAGTCTCACCTCTTGCTGTGACATGTGAGTCATGGAGTTTCTCAGTACAGGCATGGCAACAAGCCGACCCTGAGGCTCTGCTCCAGCTCTCTCAAGCTCTCAAGCTGCCAAGCTTCGGGTTTGTTGCTCCAATCAGTGTGGAAATACTCGTTTTCTCCTTGCACGACATCCAAGCCGGCTCCGCCGATCTTGCCTGGCAAACGGCCGTGCGCATGAGTCTCACAAACATGAGAAAAACAAATTGAATTATTGTGAACTAATTTGTGAACTAATGTGAATTTGAATTGAACCCCTTGAATTTGAACCCTCTTTGACCCCTTTGCCTTCTTGACGTTTCTGCCTTTGTAATCTTCGTATGTTTTGGTATTTATTGGTACCCTGGATTTGGTGTGGGAAGAACTTTGGAGTCTAAGGGAGAGCAAAACTGCAGGCGCCCGGCACTCCCTGCCTGAACGCAATCCGTCGATCAAAGCTTGATTGTCGATGAGGCCTCCCCTTGAAGTGTTCACCTTGCCGCAAATCTTTTCCGAGTTCCTAAACCAAAATATGTGAAGAAAATATGTGGAAAGAGATACAAACAAACATATGCAATGGATGAAGGCAATGGATGAAGACAAATATTACCTGGCTTCAAGTAACACGTCAATGTAGCATACATCACACACACACATTTATTCGGAATAAATAAATACACCATCCTTGTCTATATAATGGCCGTCATATTTACCCTCTTGTTTTCCGCTTTCACTGAGGCAGTTTATGCTTCAGCACTAATGACTGGAAAAAACAATACAAAAGCGCTGCTTCGCACCTTTAAAATACACATGGGCGAAAGTCAAGTCGTACAACCAAATCTACACAACTGGCCACAATAGAACGAAAACCAATATCAATATCTAGCCGCACTTTGCTTTTGGATATTCAACAGTACTCAACAATACCAAACCATGTCCCTGACCCTTTTCACAGATGAAACGGTTTGACACTATGAACACACACACACACCAACATCATCCAAACTCTAAATCAAGTCACGACAATCACGCCCTTCTTCATCTTCTTGATGGCAGCTGCATCGATCATCCTCATGTCGGAAAAAAACGTGAAAACACCATGCTGTAGGGACACTCACTCACACAAACATAGGGAACTGTGAGAACCAAATCAGACATGCTTCATACGATGTCATGATCTATCTTATGTCATGATTTTGCCAAGAAACTTCAAGGTCTCTGGTTTTTCCGGTGCAAAGATGCAAATGATGTCGCTCTGTGTGAAGATCTCGTCCAAGGACCTCGACACAATTCTTTGCTTTCGACAAGAGTCCGTCGAAGACCATGAAAAAACAAGGAGGGGTTTCTGACAGGTTTCTGATGGGTTTCTTTGTTTCCTTCGGGAAAACACCTATTGCCACCTATAGCTATTGCCATCACCTTTCGGATTCCTTCCCGCTGCCTGATGCCACAGACTTATTCCAAGTGGCACATAGGGCAATCCCAGACCGTTTGGTGGTGGATCCTTGGAGAATGCAATGAGAATACAATGAGAATGCAATGTCCAAGTGCCATTTCTGATCTGAATATATCTGAATCAAACAATGTAAAACTTGGATTGGATTGCTTGATTGCTTGGCAGAGCGGTTACAGGTTTCCTTTTTGTCCTCACTTGAGTAAGGCACTTTTTATTCACAACACGGTGTCAGAAGTGGATGGAAGTCGACAACGGTATCTATCACTTATCTATATTTATCTATTGTAGACGCGGATGGCTGGTGAACCGGCCTTGACATCAGGCTTCTCCACCACATCATGGACCATAACTTGGCATCCATATCCTGAGACAAAACAAGAGCTATTCAGAGGCTAAAAATGGCTAAAATGTCTTGATGCTCTGAGACGTTCCGCTGCAAGGAAGATATACGGTATATATGCTTACGCTCTTTGTGGTCAAAACATTTGAAACGAGTTCTATGATCTTGTCGGGCTTACAAATTGAAAAAATCCTGGGATTGAACTTCTAGTTGTTCCAAGGGCCTTGGTTACCAACGTAGGCTAAAACTTGAGGCCCAGGGGGGGGTGAACGAAAGCTACAGGTTACATAAAGGTTACATAGATGTGGAAATAGGTGAGCGGAACTTGGAAACATGCAGGGAAATAGAAAGCACGCGCATGTCACCGGAACCTTTTTTTCGGCAGTGAAGTGCAACTGCGGCAGTGTGAAGTGCAACTGGAACAGCGGTGAAAAGAATTGGGGCGGAGCACGTGGGCTAGAAACGTGGCAGAGAGATATAGAGAAATAATATGCAGATATAGGCATATATAAAATACATATGTATATACATATATATTAATATATATGTAAATACAGATGTATATATATATATATTATTATATATATATGAAGAAAGAAAACCAGAACACAATATCGACACAAAGAGATAGACAGAAAAACATGCATATACAGGCACAGGAGCTGCACAATGGAGAGGTTCATATGTAGAAGGCAGTTGCATGCTGTGTTTGGTGACATCCGATGGAGGTATATAGAGCTGCAAACATACACGACGTACATGCAAGTGATCTAGGACTTTGCAGCTGGCACCGCCAGAGAACGATAGGGAGGATTATCCGGAGCTGCTTTTGAGCTTGAGCTCACTGCCAAAGTGTCAGACGATACTCATCCACAGGGGCGTCGGAAGGAGTCAAGACAGTTGCAGAGAAGAAGTGTAATGTTCAGCTTTCATTCGTAGAACATGTGAACCAAAGAACATGGTTACTGTAAAAAGTTGGGGCCCTATCCAGAAGTGTAATTTTTGATGGGGCTCAAATCCTCAACTGTTGACCCGAGTCTCAAAGAATTCTATCGAGTCCACGGCCAAATTGATCGAAGCTCGGGCGAGCTTGTAATGTCATGCTCTGATGAGGCATAGGGCGCGAGAGTTGCATCCGAACAACATGTAATCTTCGGCTTTGAGTCGTAAAACATCTGAACCAAAGAAGACTAGAGAGTTACAGAGGGACGGCCCTGGCAGGATTTGAGCCCGTGACCATCTGCTTCCGAGACTGCTTCAAAATGCCCCGGGAGCTTGGGGGGGGTTCCGAGTGAAAAATCACTGTGTTGGACTCAGAGCTGCCCCTCCTCTTGCTGAAGCAAGAGTAACTCCAGCTAGCTACCGCTAGCTTTCGTGATTATAGAATTAGTTTGGCGCAGGAAGGTCCAGAATTTTTGAAATCAAGGGCGATATGCTTGGAAAAGTGACTGCACTCACTTATGATATCTTATGATGATTTATGATGTGTCTCAGTTGAACCTTGATTTGACAATGATAATGACATTCAGGCCGTGATTCCCATGCTGAAGATCCTTGCAGCAACCTTTCCAGTTCGGCCAGCACCAATGATGCCCACCTCGCACAGTGCGGTGTGACAACTTCCACAAGACACGACGCGACGAAACAAACCTCCCACCGAGATTTTGCAAAGATTGGCAAAGATCTGACTCCATTGGAAACGATGGGTACAGTTCGCTCTTCGAATTCTGGGAAAAGTGGTCACTGAACGCCGGAAATGCCGTCACAATCCTTCCACAATGAGATCCAAACATAATCCTTCACAATCATCATGTCGCAGTCGCTGTTCACAAAACAACTTCTTCAATGGAGAAACCCAAGTATAGCAAAGTACAGCAGGTTGAGCCATGAGCAGTGAACCCCTGATATGCACTAAATATATCGTTCCTATGCGAAAGAACATCTTCTGGTTAACGAAATTTCAAAGTTGGATCATGTTTGGATCATTCCACTCATGTCACATGGGATCCATGGGCCTTCTTTCCAATCATGTCAAAGCCAAGAAGTCCATTCAGCTCGAAGTTACAACGCCTACAATCAAACTGTTCAAACTGAGAATTTCACGTCACGAAGTCATGGCACATCAGAATGAATGTATCAGAACCATTCACAGATTAGACAGATTAGACAGAAACAAGGGCAAAAGATCGATCTTGCACGAACAAACCATTGCGTCGCTGGTGCTCTGGTAGGGAATCCTTTTACGAGCGCAGCAAGGCATGGGCACAAAATGGGGCAGCTATCTGGAGTGCGGCCACAAGGACCAATGTTGAATATGTATGAGTAATTATGAATATATAATTATGAATATACGTATAATTATGAATAATTATATATAATTATGAATAATTATATATAATTATGAATAATTATGAATATGTGAGTTTAGCGGGACACATGTGGCAACATGTGGCAACAATATGGCAACATCTGCGGGTGACCCCACCTGGTGTTCTCCGCTGCCTGAGGGATGCATCTGATCCTTGGACAAGGAACGGAAATCAGCAACGAATGCACTGAAGACCCAGCAAGGAAAGGTAACTGCCTGCATGTCAATGATGTATAAATTATGTAACATCACCCAAAGGGGTCTGCTGTGTGGGAAACCCCAAGGTCCAAACAAAGCTATGCTTTCTAAGAAGGACTCACCTGCGAAGAGCTCAAAATGACCAGGAATTCAATAGATCGGCAAAGAGATCTCCTTTAGCAGCTAGACACTCTGGACTTTGAGCAAAAAACTGTTGCTTCGTTGCTTAAACGTTGATCATTTTGACAATATTTAACAATCATGTCTGACATCTCTCAGGATTCCTGTTGTGACCCATGTGACCCCAACTTGCGCCGAGTGTCACCGAGGTGGCCAATGTGACTGCATGCTCGCCGGTGGATGATGCGCTATATGCGGGCACTCGCACCACCGTCAGCCCTGAGATCAAAAGTGATCAAAAACTTGTCCAACCACTCCAGTTGTCACATGTTGTCATATGTTGTCATATGTTGTCACATGTTGTCATATGTTGTCACATGTTGTCATATGTTGTCACGTTGAATTCGATGTTGGAAGAACATCAAACCTCTGAAAAGGGTCGATGTTGGTCGACGCTTTGAACTAGAAACTTGAATGAACTTGAATGAACCTTAGTGAACATCTGAGTCAATCAGAAGGAGGCATGGCATAGGAGACATGGCCTATTTCCTTTGCCGTCTTGATGTCCACGTTGTTGGTGCCGCTGCATCGCAATGCAACAATTTTCACGCCTTGAGCCTTCAAGGCCTTCAAGACCCTTAGCACAGCTGGTCAATCGGAGAATGGAGACAATCAGAGGTTTGTTTTCGAACTTCTGACATCTGGGACATCTGGGACTCTGGGACATCTGGGACTTGTTATGAATTATCGAAGGAAGTTTGGAAGTCAAACTTCCGACAATATGGAGAGATGAAAAAGCAGTCAGCAGGGAGAAGAGTCAGAAGAGAAAAGATCAGAAGAAAGAAGATGCAGGTGCGCGAAAAGGTAGGAAAGTCGCGAAGCACTGTGTTTTTTCGTGGTTTCGCTAAAGCGGCGGGTGCGGAGACATCTGGGGAGATGAGAGGTGAAAGTTGCACGCCGTTGTGGCGCGAAGCACATTTGGAAGTAAAATGTGTTAAAAACTGAAGGGTTCGGACCACTTTTGGAAGTTGAGATGTTGAAAAAGTGCACGCCGTTGTGGCGCGAAGCACATTTGGAAGTCGGTTCGGACCACTTTTGGAAGTTGAGATGTTGAAAAAGTGCACGCCGTTGTGGCGCGAAGCACATTTGGAAGTAAAATGTTAAAAACTGAGGGGTTCGGACCACTTTTGGAAGTTGAGATGTTGAAAAAGTGCACGCCGTTGTGGCGCGAAGCACATTTCCAAGTCAAAATGTACAAAACACACAGGTTCGGACCACTTTTGGAAGTTGAGATGTCGAAAAAGTGCACGCCGTTGTGGCGCGAAGCACATTTCGAAGTCAAAATGTACAAAACACACCAGCTCGGACCACTTTTGGAAGTTGAGATGTCGAAAAAGTGCACGCCGTTGTGGCGCGAAGCACATTTCGAAGTCAAAATGTACAAAACACTAGGGGTTCGGACCACTTTTGGAGGTTCAGATGTCGCTTCGCTTCGCTTCGGGTCATTACACTACACTATACACTCCACTACACTACAGTACATTACACTACACTACACTCCACAACACTACACTACACTACATTACACTACACTAGAAAGATCGATAGATAGATAGATACATAGAAAATAGATAGGTAGGCAGGTAGATAGTCAGAGAAAGAGAGAGAAAGAGTGAGAGAGATCAAGCACCTTTCAGTCCATCAGTGGCTTCGCTCTGCCATCCCGGATTCACAACAACCAAGCTCTCCTATAGGTTTCCTATTTTTGAAACTTCCGCCACCGCCTTGTGCGGTACTACTACTGGTATTGAATTGTGAATAATTACGACTTGTTGAACTTCAGTGGAAGCAGTGCAAGAAGACTCAGGCGATGCCATCGATGCTTGCTGAGTATCTTTCCCAGGGAAAATTGTGGTTTCAACAGGAACAAAGAGGTGATGCGGTTGGTCCTACCTTAGGCAATGTTTAGGCACTGTTTCCAGAATGATCTGTTACGATCTGTTTCGACCTGTTTCGATCCTCAGGATGGAGCCTTTCTGAGGGAGAAACAACAATTAAAGATCCCCAAGAGGTACCTTCGCGATAGCACAGAGATGAAAGTGGCAGTGAGGTTCAAAATAAGGAAGATGGATGAATGCTGGAGACTGGAAGGATAGCAACATGTTCAAAATCAGTTCATGATAGTATTGATGAACTGCAGAGGGGATGGTACTGCTAAATCTGCTAATGGTTAAGGAAAATTATGGCGATGATTCTGGATGATTCTGGATGGCATTGAAGTCGACAAGAAGGCTCAAGATGAAGCTGATTCAACGAGATGTTGTCGCTTGTTTGCAGTGATTGCGTCGCGATGTGCTGGATATTGATACTTAAGATGAAGGTGGTGATGATGATGAAGATGAAGATGACAATTTTGAACATGATAAAGTAGATAGATGTGAACACTATGGTGATGGTGACAGGCAAAGTCTTTCTGCCGATGATGCAAATAGTCGAATCGGGTACACCCTGAAGAATCCGCCGGCTTGCCGGCGTGTCTTGTGGATGTTGCTTGTATATGTTTTATGTTTAGCTGTAATCTTTCCCTCCGCGCGGATTTTTACGACCCCCCCCTCCCCCCCTCCTACTTCACATTATATTATGAAAACAAAACAAAGATATGGACGTTGCTGACAAGCCAGCCATGTTCTCCTTAAGTTCGTGCCTTGCGCCTGCCTTCTGCTTCTTCTTTCGTAGGGTGTTGTCTATTGTGAAACGGCTCATTTGTCGGCATGTTCTGTGGATGTCGTTTGTCATTGCTTCTGTTTGATGTTGCCTGCTACATACATGCCAGCCACTGGTCCTCCTGCACTCCTTGCCCCTCCGCCCCTTTCCGCTTCTTATTTCCTCTGGTAATGGTATCATCTCTTCTCTAATATCGTCTGGCATCATTTATGTCATATCATGACAACAAAAATACTACGAGATATGGACGTTGCTGCCAGGCCAGCCATGTTCTCCTGAACTTTGTGCCTTGCGCCTGCCTTCTGCTTCTTCTTTCGTATGGTGTTCTCTATTGTCAAACGTCCTAGTCTCATTTCTCGGCGTGTGCTGTGGATGTCGTTTGTCTCTGCCCATGTTCTCCTTAACCTCGTGCCTTGCGCCTGCCTTCTGCTTCTTCTTTCGTAGGGTGTTGTCTATTGTCAAACGTCCTAGTCTCATTTCTCGGCGTGTCCTGTGGATGTCGTTTGTGTCTGCTTCTGTTTGCTGTTGCCTGATACATACATGCCAGCCACTGGTCCTCCTGCACTCCTTGCCCCGCCGCCCCTTTCCGCTTCTTCTTTCGTATGGTATCATCTATTCTCTAATTTCATCTGGCATCATTTATGTCATATCATGACAAAAAGAACAACGCGATAGTGACGTTGCTGCCAGGCCAGCCATGTTCTCCTTAACTCCGTGCCTTGCGCCTGCCTTCTGCTTCTTCTTTCGTAGGGTGTTGTCTATTGTCAAACGTCCTAGTCTCATTTCTCGGCGTGTCCTGTGGATGTCGTTTGTGTCTGCTTCTGTTTGCTGTTGCCTGATACATACATGCCAGCCACTGGTCCTCCTTCACCCCTTTCACCTGGGAGCCACGTGGCCCCCGGAACACGCCAGCGGCGGTTAAATAGAATCCTTTGCAATTCTTTTAACCACCTATATAATGACGTTTGAAATCGGCGGATCATTGATACCACGGTTGGATCACATCTTCCCGTGTTTCAACTTCAGCCAAGTCTCTCTGCTGATGCATCGTCATGCACAAAAATGCAGACTCCCTGTCAGAGATGCAGATGCAAAACAAATGGATTGCAAGGAAACCATTTTGCAGCATGGCAAACCCGCAAACATCTCCAGCAGCAAAACTCATGTCCACGCGTGTCGCTCGACTCCCGAATCAAGCAACCGAACCCAGTCAAGACCATCAAACGTGACATTTGATGCATAGATATCATAGACATCATAGATATGTTATGATTTGTTATGATATGTTGTAGAGGTTTCTGAAGCATTCAATGATCATGTGATAGAGATCGGATAGAGATACGTTGTACGCGTTTTAGCTGTGAAGAATTTAGGACCTGGTCCGCAGATTGATGAAAAACACTGCACGACTCTCGCAGCTCCTCAGCACCCTTGACCATGTCCACACTTTCGATGTTCAGGGCAGCTTTGTAAAAGTTGAAGGTGAAGTTTCCCTTGTAGTCCTGGCGTCCAAAGCTCAACAAAATCAATGCAACAAACTTCAACTACCAAATCATACCGAATCTACACTTGAAACTTGAAACCGTCGTTTCCGTAAACATTTGGAATCTAAACTGCCCTGCAACGAAACAGAAAACATGGTCCGCTTTGACACTTGTGGTTGATCTTGAACATGGAATTCCATGAGCGCAGTGGAGTTTCTCAGAGCCTTCCCTGTCTGTCTTCTTATGTCTTCTTGCTCCCTTTATATTCCAATTTGTTTCCAGTTTGTTTTCAGAGTGTCAGTTTGTCTCTGTGGCTCTACACTCTCCTCATTGCCCTTTTCGAAGGCGGCCACCTCTGTGGGAGTTGCTGAGAAGAAGGCGATGCGGAAAGGTTTCTCGGTGTTTTCAAAGGGAGCAAAAGCTTCCGCCTGGGGATCACAGAGAGTAACTCAGTGAGGAACTTGATGAAACTTCAAAGAATTCATGAAAGAATTCATGAAAGAATCCGTGCTTCTAGTCCCAAGTAGTCCCAAGTAGTCCCAAGATGCCGCCTTCAAAGGGTTCACTGGCAAAGGGAGCTGCTCCATGAAAGACATCCTCTGAACCAATTCTTGCTTTCTTTCCTGGGCTGCTCCTTCACACTTCTTTGGGTCCTTTGGTTGTTCCTTCGGTGCACGGCAAACCTGAGCGTCAAGGCGGAAAGGCAAGGCCGGCAGTGCATCTCTCTGTGTTTTTTTATTTCCCAACCCCCTGTCTCTCTCCTTCTCTCTCTCTCTCTGAAAGCGACTCTCTGACAACCCATGTCCGGTCCGCACGTCATACACGACTGTTCCTCAGACAGTAGGTACAGTATGGTACAGTCTAGAGCTTTCGCCACGCCACGCAGTCCAACTTGCCATTTTGCTTGGGTGGGCCCTCGCCGTCACGAACGCCTGATGGGGCCCAAACCAAGGCCGAACGAAAGTCGGAACTCGTTGCCTGATAAATCCAAAAAGAAGCCCTCAACTGCCACATCCTGGTGTATGTTCTGTCGGTATACTTATTGGATCTTGTTGGCTTTAGATCAATTTTAAATCGGTGCCTATCATGCTCTTCAACGAGGTGTCTGAAATCGTCTTCAAGGCTTCCTTGGCACTGGCTCTGGAGAATGCAACAATGCAACAAGGCAGCTCAGATCAAGAAAGCACAGAAAATTCTACGGTATCCTGCAGCTAGAGCTTTGTTGCACGAGATTAGCGCACTGCACAGTCAGTGATCCACTTTGGAACAGCGAAGGCTCTCGGGTGAAGAATGCCAAATGCGGTGTCAAGATGACGTTCGGCATGCGCAACAGCACAGAAATGTTGTCATCGTCAATGCAACTGTTGCTAAAGTTCCTAGCAATTGTGTCGGATCAAATCTCAACGTTTCCAGCAGCAAAAGAATAACAACCATAACAACCATAATGACCATAATGTATCATGAATGATAATGATCAGTGATCCATCAATGATGATCCATATTGATCCAAAATGTCCAGACTCCAACCAGACTCCAACCAGACTCCAACCAGACTCCAACCAGACTCCCCCTTCTCTACTTCGGCTCCTGAAGAAGAAGGGTGCCTCATTTTCCACTACGTCCATTGCAGCACCAGCAATGATGCCAGTCTTCAAGCCTAGCGAAATCGAACATATCGAAATGACGAAACCAAAACTGAACAAAGGAAGACATTTTCCGGGCAGAAAATGGCGTCATATTATGTCATATTCCTGCAACTTTCTGACTTCGTTTGGCACTTATGTCACTTGCAGCAATTTGTTTTGCAAAACAAGTTCGTCGACTTCGTCAAGTCGACGGCCACCGGAGTCACCGGAGTCGAGGCGCCATGAATCAACGCTTTGGTGTCGATGAGTCCACCACGGGAGGTGTTGACAATCCTCGTGTGCACGGCATTCCGGCATTCCGCGAGGCGATTTCAAATATTTCGCGGCAAAGGATTCACAAAAAGATCATGGAATATCATATGGATGTCGATTTGAGATTTGCTTTAGATCCTCTAAGGTTTAGCAAACATTTTCGTCCATCCTATCTCTGGACTCTTTAGCCTGATCCTGCTAACGAGTCCCGTGTCTGTTGTGTCTGTTTTGCCGGGCGTCATGATGCCCTTTTTCATGATGCTCAACTTGTCGAAGTTGATCATATGCTTCGTCGATGGCAGCAAAGGTGCATGCAATGAGATGTAGTCGCAGGTCGCAAGCAACTCATCCAGTGGTAAATAAGGAATCTCCAAACCTCATCAGACTGCACTGTGCTGCAGTGTGCAGTGAAACAGAGTTGCATGTGAATTGTACAGGTTCCAAAATCCAGCGGCATTGGCACAACAAGCTATGCTCGTTGCAACATGGGGAATTCTCAAAGAAACAGTAACACTCAGCACTGAGCACTCAAACGGAATCAAACAATTCGAGCGCGTTCGAAATGTTCGAAGTCTGTTGGTTCTGCAGCTTCTTGTGACGGTGACACTGTGCCTCTGGCCATGCGAGTGCTGCTAAGACACCTGCAGGCTCTGGATCCTTGATCTTGGGATTCTCCTCGCGAAGATTGAGAAGGGTATAGAATGGTGAAGGTATGTGAAGATCTCATCTTGTACAATCACATACAATCACATACACATTCACTTATTCACTTCATTCATTATTCTATCGGAGTCACAAAGAATTTGGGATGTATATGGATGTATCATGCGAATGTGATCAGGTGGCACCATGTGGCACCAAACTCCAAAATGTGCTGACCCGATTCACCCAATGCCGCAAAACTGGCAACCTCACGAAACGGTGCAGCTGAGTGTCGAAGACGTCATAGGCGACCACTTCACATTCAAAACCCTTCCTTGGATAGGCTGACAAAATAGAACCTTAAACGGTGCCTTTAGAGCATTTTGGACCTGTAAACAGCCAGAGACTCTAAGAAGGGAAACAAGGAACAAACAAGGAACAAACAAGGAACAAACAAAGGTGGAAAAGTGGAAACAAGGTCTCCAAATGTGCGGAGGTTCTTCATGACTCTTGCAGTGATGGAACCGATCAAGCCTCGCAGAGTTGAGTACGTCTCAACACATGCAGTGACAAGTGACGATGAGTGACTAGTGTGGCGCATTATCGCTGATAGGTGGTCTGAACACCAAAGTGCCACGGCAATTGCTTGAGAATGCAAAGAAATGACAGGATTCAGCTATTTATTTCACCACTGACCTCAAGGAGAACATAACCCGATTTGCATCCATTTGCCCAAGTCGGACAAGGTAGGAAAATCATGGAAAATCCACGCACCTGTGCCGATGATGCCAACTCTCTTGCCGTGCAATGTCCTTCCTTGCGGTCGGGATAGGCGGCATTAGGCGGCTTGGATGGTTGGAGATTCTTGGAGAGCTCTGGGACTGTCGTCAATCCACCAGAGCAAACTTGCGCAAGTGAAACAATTTGGCATCGCGCCATGGCGCATCTTCGGTTGTCGACTGTAAATCACTGCATGCCTTCAAAATTAATTTGCTCTACGATAGAGCTCTTCCTTTGAACATGCACAATGACGCACAGTTCTTGAAACGTCTGCTCTTGCTAGCCGACAAAGTCGGCAAAACAGCAGGTCAACAACTAGCAAATTCACAGAAATAGCTTTGAAAAGGTCTGAACATGTACCTTTCCGGACAATGCTCCCTGTTTGCTCCTACAGTAGCTTGCTTGATGTTCTCTCATTGCTTGACCGCAGCCTTCCGCTTTCTTCGAACAAGATTCCGATCATTGCACCATTCAATCCGAAGTTGCCCATGCGAGCATTGCGGTATGAACGCGTGATGTTTCGATTCCTCAGTGGCTGATGCATGAACTGCATTGAACGGCTGAACCATTTGAAGCACGAAAAACTTCACATCTTTAGGCAATACAGGGGATGGTGCCTGGTGTATCCTGGTGTATCCTGGTGTGCTGAGAAGTGTCAAAGAGCACATCAGTGCCACAGCATGCTCTCCAACCGCATAGGGACCTGCCATGTCAGCCGGCCAGAAACGGTGTATCGTTCTAGCTTTGGAAAAACTTCAAGCAATGATTTCTGAGCTCGAAGTGCCATGTGCATCCATGTGCATCCATGTGCCAACATGTGCCAACTCTTCAATGATTTAGGACAAACATCAATGCAGCCGAATGGCTATAGGCGGGCACGCGTGCCACAGTGATGCCGTGTGCTTCAGCCGCTTTCAGATCCACACGATCGAAGCCGGCGCAACGTAACGCGATCATTTTAACGCCCGCCTGCGAGAATCGAACCAAAATGAACCAAAGCAAGATGCGACGATCATGATTACATTGATTTACATTGATTACATTGATTACATCCCGCCTTGCTGAGACTCTCCACAATGTCTGCACCTCGAGGAAAAACATCGAATTTGCCACGCACACAACGTCGGTGCCAACTTAACAAAGCTGCACAAACTTTCGCCAAATTCACACCTGCGAAGTCGTTCACGAAGGTGCAAACGGCGTCACAACCTTCTGCCAGCTTCACGGTGTCCTTGGAACAGAAAGCCATCAGGAAAATGAGCACAATCTATGAAAAGGTTCGAGAAGGTATGCAAAGGACAGAGCATGAAATCTACAGTTCTAGAATCTTTTAATATCTTTTATTTTTTTTTTTCTGTGTCTACATTTGTCTACAGGTTCGCAAATCAAAGTCATTACAGAAATTCTTTCGTTGCCAAGGCTCCATGTTCAACTGCTCGGAGTTGTAGGTAAACTCCAGGCTGCAGCCGAGATCCTCCGAAAAGTCCATGTCTGAAATAGATTGAAATAGATTGAAATAGTGTCCAAGATTTGTCCAAGAGACCAATTTCCCGGGCTAAATTTCTCAGCGTTTTGTCGAGTGGGGAGAGTTACAAGAGTTACACTGGAAGGTCACATTTTGTGACTAGCTTCTCTCGGCCGTTCATTGAATTGAGGCTCGTCATGGCCATTTAATGAACTAACTTGTTGAGCCAAGCCTTTTTGCATTCTTACAAAGAAGCAACACCCTGTGACAAGGAGTATCTTCAAGTTTCACAGCTACCGCATCAAACAGAACACAGCACAAGCCACATGAGCCGGATCATTTGGTTTCTCCTGGTTGGTTAGGTCAAACCATTCACGATCATAGGGCGCGCAGGAGAAAATGGCCACCTGCTCTCAAAAGCAGTGCAAAACATAGTGTGAATAAACATGATCTGCGCTGGTTGATTCATGTTGATTCTCTCTTAGTTTGTTCCTTTATCATCCTTTATCATCCTTTATCATCTTTATCTTGCCACTTTTCTGATTTCCTAATATTTCTCCTATCTCGCTTCACTCGAAGGGCCCTAGTGGCACGTTATGTGCTCTGCTCTCCCAACCCCGAGCCTTGAACTTCTTCCCTGACGCCTCGCGACTCTCGCGCAGTTCAAACAGCCATGAGACGAAGTCCTGCCAAAATCACCAAAGTCACCATGGCCATCACTGAAGTTTTGGCAGGACCTATTGCAAACATTATTTCTTGGAAACTTTATTTCTCATGATTTCTCCTGTTTTTTCTCATTATTTTTGTTCTTTTTTTCTCATTTCATGCCATTTCTGTCTGCAATTTCACCGAAAACCAACACCACAAAAAGGAAAAACGTGAGACTGAGAATACTGCGATGCATCTGACCAGGACTACAAGACAAGAATGTCCAGGGACATAAACAGAGTCCAAATGTTACCCGAACTGTACAAAGTAAAACAAAGACAGAGCAAATCAAATCTCTCCCATTTCTTTGGCTCCTCATATTTCACATTTTCGCCCCACTTGTTGAGCAAAGCGTCCTCGGAGCACAACAAATATGAGCTGATTTTTCTGCAGGGACAAGCTGTTGAGTCTGTTGAGTTTTCAAGGTTTGCAGGACAAGGGCTCTGCCATCCACCTGCGAAACCTGTAAAAACCGAATGGAATCCCCGAATAGTCTGTGATATCATGTGATATCTGTGCATAGTTTGTGAGTCTGTGAATCTCCGTGAGTGTGTACAGAAGTTGTGCACAAGTCTCCATGTCATCCTTTTGCCACTCGGGCAGGGCGGATCCAAGGAAACCTCGTGAACAGATGTGAAAAGTGTGAAGAGGTTCGGAGCAAATTGTGCCCAATTTTCCCAAGTCCGTGGAAGCAGTTTGCCAATGCAAAATCAACTGCAAGAACAAATATGGCTAAATTATGGCTAACCATGTATCATATACTTGCAAATGACTCCCACAACGACTTAAACACTCTGTAAATCCCAAGACACTTGAAAGTTCTTGCTTGGGGACCACACCACTGCCTCCAAACACAAACTCTTGGTTCAAGACTTGAGACAGTTCATGACAGTTCACTATCACACATGATTCTCACATGATGTGTCTGCAGAAATCATAAACTGAACAACACGTGGGAGGAAGATTGGACAGGAACGAAGATCTGTCAGGAGAAATAAAAAACAGGAGGGAGGGAAGACATGGGAAGACATGGGAAGACATGGGAAGACATGGGAAGACGGTTTAAACATGTTTAAAGTTTAGACTGACATGTTACCTATTTGCAGGCTTAGACAACATTAGACAACATCCTAACATAAAATGACAACAAAATCAATACTGAATTTCTGAATAGCACATGACTTGAGATACTTGAGCACATTTGTAGACTTGAAAAGAACATTGACTCAGTGAACTCGATCTGAAGTGGTGGATGTAACATGATGTAACATGATGTAACATGATGTAACATGATGTAACAACGTTGTGGTGGATGTGGCCATATGTGACGGTTGTGACGTGCCTTGAACATCGATGTATTGGCAGCCGGTAAGGACTTGCGAGGCCATGGCTCACCGAAACCTTCAATCGAAGGGGGTGTGCTGCACGACACGAGATCACACAACGATACACAACGGATGGCAAAATCAATAGCCTTGAGCACCACATAGCACCACGTTACCACAGGTATTACCACATTTGCAGATTTAACGAGAGATTTAACGCCATTTCACCCCCAAGTTTCGTTTACAGTTTACAGCAGATTTCTGTGGTTCCTGTAGCGTGTACTGCCATCGATACAAATTCCATGTGCAGCGCTCGAAGCTCATCTTTTATGCCGCAAGACATCGACGCACCCGTGCCAGACAAATACAAGCAAAACAAGTGCATCATTGTTGCGCGCACCTCAGTGCAACTCTGTGGATTCTTTCATCTGTCATATTCTGTCATCATATTGCATCTGTGATAGCATCATATTGCATCATATTGCATCATATTGCATCATATTGCATCACACATCTGTATAAATCTGTATCATCCGGATCTGCACATATTTGCATTGATACCTTGTGGTTCCTCGGTCGTACATCTCCTTTCATTTGGTGATTTTCTTTGGATATTTTTTGAGTTTTCGAGTTTTCAGTCCACGAATCTGTAGAAACCCAGCAGCTGCGCACATGGAGGCTGAGGCAGCCGCTTTTCTGCATGGGCCCCGACCTGGTGGCGGCTTTGGTCTTCAATTTCTGGCCATCTCTAAGTCACCTTTACGTCCTCCAGTCATCTTTAGACAGACTCTTACACCAGTCCCGATTTTCTCAAACAATCTTTCATCATCTTTCCACATCTCTCTCCGTCCAAGTTCCACAACCAAACCCGGGGCGCGCCCTCGATGGTGGCACGTGGTCTGATTGATGCTCTTGAGCGACCTGCAACTGGTAGACGAGCTATGCCAGCTACGCCCAATGTTTCGACGTTTTGTCAGTCGCAGTTTGCGTGTAGAAAGGAGGATGGCAGCATGGGTAAGCCGGTCTGGTGGCATTGAACAAAGTTTGCAGCCGCACCTTGTCTCCCTCAGGTTCCTGCAGAATAAACACATTTTTGTTCGGTGTTCGTTTCATTGTCAAGAAACATTTATTTGAAGTTTCTTCTCTTCATTGTTATTTCAAGTTTCTCCTCTTAATGACAGTGCTTTCTCATGATTCTCGACGCACGTGGTGTTGCTGTTTTGGCTGCATCCCACCTGGTTTTCTTTCTCATTATCTACAACAAGCCTCGGTGATGCACTTTTTGAAGCATCTCGGACTGTGAAAAATCAAGGCGGCGGATGGCGGCAGTGTGACACCCCAAAAACACCTCTCCCAGTGATGGGGTCCCCGGGGTCCCCTGCCGTGGAACTGGAACGTCACCTCCGCCGACCCGGAAAAATGCAGAGGAACTCCCGTGCTCCAAAACGGTCCAAAGGTGTTGACCAACCTACCGTGGCCTACGCAGCATCCCCTTTTTAGATCTTTTTAGATCTTCTCTTTATGTTCATGCTCTTGAACTCTTGGATGAGATGAGTCAGAACAGTCAGAACAGTCAGAACAGTTCAAATACATTCAAAGATTCAAAGATTCTGTTCAAATCAACATTTCAACGAGGTGAGATCCAGATCGAGGTGCAGCCAGACCCAGAGTGCTCAAATATGCTCAAATGGTGAAGGGTTCCAGCTAGGATGCAAAAATAGGCAGTGTCAAGCTGAGTCAAGCTGAGTCAAGCTCACCAATTCATACCATTTTGTGAAGTTCTCCCAGTGATCCCGCGAACCTATTCGCCAATCAACCTCCTGCACTGTGGGAAAGCTCAATCTGGACGAATCTTGGCTTGGGGTTATGGGATCTTCGTGCTAGCTTTTCACACCCCGCCAGAAAACATACTGTGCATACTGTCTTAATCCTTACACAATTGTCAATGCTCGAATCACTTGGTGGGAATTGTCAGTCAAAAGCCTTGGTGCCCTACTTGCAGAAAGTGACCCATCTTCAAGACGATCGAAGACATGTCTACTAGTCTACCCCCCACTCTTTGCTCCTTGTAGTTCGCATGCATGAGCCTGCCATGAAAAAATACATGGCGCGCTTGTACTCTTGTTTCTCAAAATCTAATAATGATGACCAGAGAAGCGCGATGAGAGAGCGATGGATGAGAGAGAGAGAGAGAGAGCGCAATAATCAGTGCGCAAAAGGCTCTGTTGAATCAGTTGAATCTTATGCACATTTTGTATCATTTTGTAAGGTGGTGACTTTCAGAGGGAAGAAAAACAAGTTTCTTCTGCCGACTGGGAAACCAGGTAAGACATGTTAAGACATGTTAAGACATGTTACATGTTTCAAGACATGGCAGCACCGCTCTTTTCTTGAAGGTTCCGGCAGGGGTTCGAACTGTGCGTTTCGAAAGGCCTGTGCCCGGCAGCTCCGGCTTTCGGCTTTCAGCGCACTGCGCGGCATCCCGTGGCCGTGTCCGTCGTGTCCGCCGTGTCCGTCGTGTCCGCCGTGTCGTATCGTATCGTGCCTCCATATCGATAAAGAACACGTCCTTCTTCTCGCCTGCAAAGGCCAATCTGATGGTTTCATGGAGGTTAGTGGAAATCAAGTGGAAATCAAGTGGAAATCAAGTGGAAATCAAGTGGAAATCAAGTGGAAATCAAGTGGAAATGATGGTTAAGTCAACTACGTCAGTTAAGTCATGGCCAATTTTGGCAGTGCCATGAAATGTCATGAAGTCACAAGGCCTTCTTTGTCTTTTCGATTCCACCGTTGGCTCTTCACATAATCCGGATGGGTCTGCCTCCAAAGCGTGTTTTAGGCGCTGCATTAACTGCAACAAAGGTTGCACCATCAATCGACAGAAAGAATTCCAAAAGAATGCTACATAATATGGTGAATGCATGCAAATATATCAACATATATATCAAAATATATGTAAATATATCCGAATGCCATGGAAATGGCATGGAAGTGCCATGAATGTCACTCAGCTTTGCCTTGAGTATTTGGGAGCCTTTGCTGGCTGGGGCTGCACTGGAGCTGGTTGAGGAACCGACACCTTTCGATGAATTTGGATCGTCAGCCATGTACTGGTTCTGGCAAAGTCAAGTTCGAACACATCTGAACTGTATGTAATCGGCTGTAGCAGCTTGAAACCAGTCATATCCAGAATGGACTGCGCGGATGGCGCAAGGCTACCAGTGCACTAGTTTCACCATGTTTCACCCACCTCCTGCGGAATGGTCGGAGTCGCAGTGCTAACAGAAAGGCTCAGCGACTTCGGCTTTTCGCTTTCCTGACGGAATTGCTCAGAATTGCTCATGGAAGTGAAACCAATAGCGGCACTACCTCGTTCAAATGTGCAGAATACACAAAGGGCACGGGAAATCCAGGAGTAAGTCCGAAAATCATAGGGAATGGGAAAGAACTTTCTACTTTTAGTCCGAAACAAAGGTCGAAACCAACAGATGTTTTCACTGGATATCCGATACCATGCCTGGCAATTTTGCGGCTTTCACGGAATTTCTCCAATATTTGTAAAGCCATTGGAATCAAAGCAAAAAATTCCTGGAAGGAAGCCAGAACAGAACCCAGAAGCTTAAACACATGTTGCTCTTTTTCATATTTTCTCATCTTTCCTCATTTTCTCTTAAAGAAGAGTGGTGCAAGCTATTGGAGAGATCTATCATCGAACTCAAAATGCCTCTTTCCAACGTTTCAGCACACACTGGCACGCTGAGCAGCTCGCCATGCGGCGAGTGGTGCTGCTGGTTTCTTGGCGAGGCGGAGCAAACTGGGTGCTCTCCTGGCCGCTTCGTCTGACGGATGTAGTCAAGCAGAGTCAAGCAGAGTCAAGCAGAGTCCACCAATTGAATCCAATTGAGACAATTTCTGAAGCAATTTTCGCTCTATCTGACCACCTTGAAAGGATTTTTCATCTTTCGCTGCACATAAACGTCACAAACACACGTGGTCGTGTAGAATTCCATAGATCTTCTGTGATACGGCATGTTTCCAAGCAGTTGAGAAAGTTCCTGGACATGGCTTGCAATATGATCACATTCTTTTTAGTTTTTTTTAGCAAACCGTTGTCAAACTTTTACCTCAAAATGGCTCAAATAAATTTTGTTCCAAACTTTTGCCAGGCCTTGGAGATGAGAGAAACAGATTCCTTTTGTTTCGTCTCATCGCTCTTACCAAACGCTTCGTCCAAATTATACACCTTGCGCAGCAATTTGGCCATTGCACATATCTGCACATCATGTCACACACTTGAGATCCTTTTCATGTAAACAACATTAAACAACTGTATCAGTGTGCCATGCCGGAACTGCCATACGCCAAAATCAGTTACCCTCCGCGGCGCACCAGCTTTGTCACAGGCATATCTATTGAAAGTTCCAGCGTCACTCTCATCGTTGGTTCCTTGCCTGGCAGTATCTGGCAGTTAGGCGGAGTTCAGCTTTATCTGGGGGGCTTTGGAATGTGGCGATTGCTTGATACACTTTGAATGATCTGACATCCTGATAGCCTCTGACATGCCAAATTTCAAATCCTTTCCAAATGTCCAAATTTCGGAGCAGTGTGAGCCATGCCTTCCTTCATGAAGTGAACCCCCTTCACATTGTAAGCCAGACTTACAGGCCTTAGCTTGTCCAAGCATTGAAACATCCAGCTTCGTCGTTGACACGTCTTGGCCAGTATACTTTCAATTTGCCTCCACAAAATAATCATGGTTCTCCTACCTTGTTTCTGTGTTTCCAACAGTATTTGCCGTGTACAACTCTAGCGCTACACAAATCCATTGAAGTCACCCCAACCTGCCAGTGAACTGTCACTTTCGCATGATTCGCATGGAACTATCTGCACAAACCTCTCCAAAAAGTCACTCCAACTTCTTCGCCCATTGTAAATGCAGCAGAAACACTTACAAATTATATTTGTATCGATACCAAACTCCCAAAACAGAATGTGAACGCAAGCCACCCTGATGGTAAAATACTTTTTGTCTTCCAGAGATAAACCATAAATGCATGTTGTGT